ATCTAATGAATTATAAACTGATCAAAGTAACATAAACGAAGGTTTATAATGACTAAAATGTAATAAATTATTAAGTTACTTTGATTTAATTCATTGGATCGATATTGTCGAAAAGAAAGAAGAACGAATTCATTTATTAAAAACTTTTATTTTCTTTTAACATCAACTTGTCGACATATAATTTATAGCTAGGTAATAGATGCGCATGTAGTAGTGAGTCGGTTGCTTGTTAAACCCTTTCAAGCGATAAGTGAACGTGTCGCATGTTCTCCATAAAACCCGTTATGTATCCGTGCTCCCCGTATTTGTTCCATACACGTCAACGTAATTCGCTTAAGATTCCTTTACGCATCTCCGGTAGCTCGAGCTCGATCTTGCCGGTTAAAATCGGGATGAGCGCCTGCAGAATGCCGTCCCCCACGATGTTGTATCTCTCGAGCACCAGAGCTGTTTCATAAAGTGATATGTCTTTGGCAGTTCAATGCCATAGCTTGATCAAGAATTCCATAGTTACCAGGACTATTCTTATCTGCAGTACTTAGAAAATTTAATGGAAAAGATTAATTTTTTGCTAAGTATAATGATATACAATACTCTTCGTAACTTTTTCTGTACAAATACTTTTTTTTACAAATATGTAGCATAAATGTACTTACAAAGAGCTCCAAGGCGATGGTTAATTGATACCACTTAATATAGTGGAATAAATAATTTTGACGATGACAAACGCTCGTCAGAGAAATCAACGATCAATCAGTGTCGCCGAAGAGTCACCAGACACTACACACGCGCGCTGATAATAAAAATATACACTAAATAAATAATGACACGAAAAAAATGACATAAATATAACCTTAGTATACATACAATAACCTCAGTACAAAATCTCCACAATGTGTCAACGAGACTTCCAAGTCAGAGATTTTTCTACGATGACAGCCGCTCACGAAGTTTGTCACAGAAAAGAGTTATCAGACATTACACATGCAAACTGATGATAAAAACATAATGATATAAATACTAAATAACCTCAATACAAAATGATAATAGATAATAAATAAGCTCAGTACAAAATCTCCGCGATGACAGTCGCTCATAAAGTTCGCACAGCAAGAGAACCAATCAGCATCGCGGAAAAGCGGCAACAAATAACTTCGAGACTTTCGAGAACAACGATACATTTCGAGTTCGACTTAACATGCCTTTTTTTAGATAGGATAGGATAGAAATATTTCTAAAAATACAACGTCTCACTCCAAGGATATGTATATGATTTTTTTATAGCAAAGAAATATTTCTAAAAATACAATTTCTTCTTTCGAAGACTCGAGCACACGTATATAATATTTTTAAAGCAAACAAATATTTCAAAAAATGCAATCTCTCACTTCGAACACTCGAGGATATGCATATAATTATAAAAGTAATAAAAATTATTAAAAATATTATTTCTTACTTCGAAGACCCGAGGACATGTATATAATTTTTATAAAGCATAGAAATGTTTCTAAAAAATG